TTACATCTGCGCTTGTCCTGCGGCTGTCTGAAACTGGCACATCACCTTACAACAATCGCGAATTAAGAAGTCCTCATGTGCACTTCTTCAAGAAGCGACAGTTAAGCTTTTTGCATGGAGCTACGAGTCTTCTTTCCTGGAGTCTATTTAATCTCATTTATGAACAACATTATGGTGTAATGAAGTGTACAGCGCTAAATGCCCTTAAGGAAATTAGATAACGGTAGGGATCATATGGTGTCACCTCCACAACATTAAACTAGCAATATAAATCTGGCGTAAATATATCCCATGCAACCATATGCGAGTTCAAACACTAAAAATTGCTATGATAAATTCCCCCATAGTGCTTTAGCAAGCTAAACGTCATTCAGTTGGGATTTACTTCTACTTTAATCCCAAATGCTCTTCTCTGGTAAATTTTGAAGTGCTGTGATAAGGTTGGATGTCCCTAAATGAATAAGCCAGATAATCAGCCACTAATTTCCTACTAAAAGGTTATCTTATAGTAGAGTAGTTAGGGAAGAGCATTTTCCCCTGCCACATAAAATTAGAAGGCCTTCTATGTTCCTGGAACAATTGTATATTTATTACTACAACCTACCCTACCATTTCTATGCAGATCAAAAGCACTTGAACCCATTATAAGCAAAGCCTGTTTACCTAACATAACACCCTAGACACTCTGAACTCATTTGTGTTCATGAGCCAGCTTAGGAAACAATGCAATACAAGGAAGCCAGAGAGTGCCTCTCTTTTAACTGTCTGCGTACACAATGTCTGAGAAACACTTTGGTTCCTTGACCTCCTTGAATCAAGGTTGTCTTCTGTAGATGTTGTACTGTGAAAACAAAGTCCTTATTAGGTACACTGAAGTAGTTTAATTAGTCTGTTCTTCTCTGTAAAGATATGGAATAAAGTCAGGTGATAAAGTTAGTATTGACTTTAAAGCTACATACTGCGCTAGGTGAAATCCTTTAACATTAGGAAAACTCTGGTTCATGGAGCCTTGGACTGATCCTGCTGCCTACAGCAAACAAGGCCAGCAGAGCAGGGACCCCACAGTTGTCGGCTTATGGACAGCCTAAAGGTTCCATGTGGACTTTGACCTGATCACTCAGTAATCCAGGCATTTGGATAATCTCATGGTATATATGAAAACTGAGCTGTACGTGCACTTTATTCAATTGTTTTTAGATAAACAAAGGAGCAACAACAAAATAGCAATTGGTTAAAATTTGCAATCATTTGAATATGATTCCAATATGTATGGTAAATCAAGCTACTGTTTTCCCAATTTGATTTTTTTTATGTGTATGCAAATTTAACTGGATATTTCTTCAAAACAATTACAAAAGAAACCGGTCAGTTTGTGTGATAGTTCAAAAGAAATTCCTTTAAACAGTAATCTAAAATTCAAATCTAACAAGAACCAATGCAAAATGATGTGTGAGTGGCTAGATGTAGACTGTGGTTAGATGTTAGATATCATTCTGACTGGAAAAAGATCTCTATTTTAAAACTCACATCCTGTTATTACATATTGGCTATGAAGAATTCTTATCTCATTACTTCAGAGAGAAAAAATGCATTTTAGAAAATAAATTGGCCCCCAGGCAGCCAAAATGTATCTAATACTGATGTTTAAAGCTGGCAATACACGTGGCGATTTTCAGTCAATTTTAAACATTTTCAATTACCTGGGAATCGCAAATACGATGACAAGTAATTGCCAAAAACAAAGTACTCTACCACCCATGAGTTCGGTGCGATTGTGAAGTCGAAACTGAGCAACAAATTGACAGTTTGAATACAGTTAGCTACAGCAATTTTACTAAAAGTGATCTGATTTTTCCAGCGGCTTTGATCGGGCAATTTCGATCCCATCTCCTTCAAAGTCATAATTTTAGGTCTTCGATTACTTTGCTAAAATCAGATCACTAAAAGTTATCTGATTTTTCCAGCGGCTTCGACCGGGCAATTTCGATCCCATCTCCTTCACAGTCATCATTTTAGGTCTTCGATTACTTTGCAATTTTGACAAGATCAGAAGTGAAAGTTTAATTACTGAATCAACTTGCCACATGTATTGCCAAATCAAGGCTATCTTTGGTGGTCTTGTATATCTCTCAAATTCATAGTATCTAAATGTTAAAATGATTGGTATCACATGCCAAGAAAGTTTTTGTTTTGGAAAATTAACACTTTTACTGTGTAAAAACATTACAAGTTAGCTTTTTTACCTTTCTTTATATGTTAGAACAATGCAGCTAATATATATGTCTCAGTAGATAGGTCCTTAAATGTACAGTATGTGTGTATGTATATACACATAAGCATCTACCAGTTAGTATGTGTATTTGGACGCTAAAGGATAAGGTGGCTAGGTGCACACTAGTGGTTCATGTCTGCTAAACATTGCCCGCACTTTGTATAGAACAGACTATTACCAGTAACTTGCACTAAACAAACCTCAATGCTTTGAAATATATTAATTATTTTTAAACCAAATGTAATGATTTCTTTATAGCTGCTAGAGAAACATATGAACAATTTTTGATGAGAAGTCTTAATTGTTAATGACATTCCATTTGTGCTTAAAATATGCATGCATTTAGCATTAAGTAAGACTTTCTGTGCTGGTCTAATAAACAGAATTTAGGAATGTAGTCCTTAATACACATTAGAAAAGAAAGCATACAATATTATTTACCCAAAGAATGCAAGATGACAGCTATGATATACACTGATATACATCAACAGATTTAAAACACAAACATTATTATATTTTAGTACTTGGTTTAAAGTGAACCTGCGCTTTGCTGAATGCTGGCCCCTGCTATTCATTCATACCTCTTTCATTTAATTCCCCCTTTACTTGGTTTGCCTACTGGGAGGGAGGGATGAGAAGAAGAAGCCCTGTATAATTGCCAAGCTGTGATGTAGAGGTTACACAAGGCTGAGAACTCTCTCCTGTCCCATGTCTCAGTGCTGGGTTTTCTGAGCAGCTGATTACCAAGCACCAGTGCTATTACGTATGAAGGAGAGTGAATCGCATATTTCCCAATACCCAGACATACTGAGGTTGATTCACTAAAAGCAAATAGGCTGTTCACTTTGCAAGGGAAATTTCCATTAGATTAGTACATGTGGTGAAAATTCACTTAGCAAAGAATACCCAATCTTCTGCGAGGAAAAAAAACCCCAGTATGGTTTGCTTGCACATGATTGGACAACGGAAGACACCAGAGCTTCACTTGATTGACTAAGTTAAGTGAAAATTCCTATGCAAAGTGAACAGCCTATTTCCTTTTAATAAATAAAACCCCCTATGTGTATGCCAATTTAACTCCCAGGAGAACAAAACAGTGTGAGTGTGTGTGTGTGTGTGTGTGTGTGTGTGTGTGTATGTGTGTGTGGGGGGATTAAAGTAAACCTGTTGTTTTGTCCTGCAAAAGTGGCAGTCATTAAGGTCTCTCAGACCTCATAAACATGGGCTTTAAAAAAGGGTGCTCATATGGTACTCATACCTACTACGTTCCCTATAAGCAACATTCTATACTCAAATAGCTTTATGAAGTATTGGTGAAGATCAATATTAAAATACTCATTAGGCAGTCAAGAAAAAATACCTCTTAAATCTAAATGGGCAGGAGTCTTAAACATGAAGCCTCAGTTAAAGGTTCATTCTAGTGAGATCTCACTAACACTTTGATACTGTCCAGTATCTACTGTTTGAAGCCAAGATATTGTTTAAGATTTTCTTGGGAAGAATAGAAGCTTCTGTCAAGAAGGAACCCTTCCCAATTTTCCCCAAAAAAATGTTTTTCTGCTGTCTGTGTCCCAACTGCAGAGATTCGCTGAGAGGAAATCTCCTCAATAGGGACACAAACTATTAATAAAACCCTGACAGAGGCTCTATCACTTCCCCACTAAAAGAAAGGTTTGGCTTGAGTTGGGCTTATACCTGCGGCTTATATTTACCTTTATTTTGCTAACCTGTTGCTCTATTCAGTGACAGAAGCCAAAGGAAATACTCAGTACTGCTGGATATTGAGGAACATGCGACCCACTCCATGTGATTGCACCAATCAGGGCCAATCAGCATTGTCACACAAGGAGTTTGTAGTTCTGTGTAAGTTATTGGAGCAAAATGGAGCAGGAGAGAGCAAAAAGAAGGTGTGTGTGTGTACCACTAGCGATGAATAAATTAAAAGGAACTTGTTTGTTTCTTTCAACTTTATTACTTTGGAATACCTAACTGGAAGTTTTCCATAAACGTGGAACAAAGAAAACATTGGAGGCATCCCCATTATAACCAGTTGAGTGTTCGGTTTTATTGTCTATCCAGCACTAGAACAAATAGCACTAAAATGGCACGATTTTATTTTCTCCACTGTTCCTTTCCTCCAGTCTTGCAGAACATTCTTTGAATTGTCTGGTTACAGGTTGTAGTGTACCAACAGAATATATTTTTGTGCTACATCCATCAAAACAAATGCAGTCTATTGATCACTTTGAGAAATGTAATGTCTGTAGTGCACTCCAAAAAAAAAGAACAATTCATATCTAGCCGCTCTCAATATCAAGTCCATATCAAAAGCAATGGCAGTTTTCAAGTTGATTAGCATGACACTAGTCATGTGAGCAATTCGGAAACAGTAATGCAAATACCAAGCCCACAGATGTTTAAGACTCTGACAAAGGGTAGCCTATGAAGACTAAATCCAGCTCAAACTTAGATATTGAGTATCGTTAACCCTTTGGGTCTATTATGTGACTTTGTTATCATCTCCCCAAAATACAATTCCCCCAACACATGAACACACAAGTTATTGTGAACTTAGTTTTTACTTAACCCAGTGGTGCAATGATAGAATGAGCATTTTCATACTGTACAAAACAATGACTTCATTGGATTATTAATATGGATGTTCATTTAATTATTTTAGCTCTTCTCCAAATGATTGAAATATTCCCCCAAAGTTACAGAACATTACCTTTCATCTTCTTGAACTTTTTATACCATCTCCCAAATTCGTGGCATTTTGTAGCTGACACATTGGCATAGTATGTGCTGTTTACAATGGAGGAGATCATGCTCTGGAAGAGAGTACAGGATGAGGGAATGTTATTAGATAAAGACTTAGCAGGCAGAGAAGTGATCGGTAAAGTATTCACTGATCAGCCAATAATGTTCCTCATCTGTATTAGGATGAAAAATGAGACTCCTCTTGGCTAGAAAGTACTACATAGTAAATAAACAATCATCATGATTTACTTTCCTTAATATCTGTCTCCTTTGGTCTTTCCATTGTGCACAAATACGAACAAGAAGAACGCCTCTGCTAATTTCTTACCTGTTTTAAAGTGTGCTGCACTTTATGCTGTTTCTGACACATTATGTACAAACTATTTACCAGCCAAGACAACAATTATATCTAAAGCTGAACTGCAGGCAAACAGCTAAACACAATTTTTAAATACATATAGGTGAGTATGTTATACCTGCCAAATTAATTGTAAATCTGTCCATCCAGTCCTGAGATTTACATAGCTCTACCAGACTTGGTGACCTAGCTTTTTTCCACTGTAGTTAGGCAATACAGCTAGGTCACCTCTTTGCCCCCAGTATGTGACTAGTTAGCAAAAGAGCAGCAGCAGACTGATGTGGTAATCCCTATGCTCCCACTCTCTGCCTTTGTTCCTTTTCAGCATATGTGTATGCTGGAGACCTTATTGGCTCTTTGTATCAATGCAATCTGAGTGCTGTAATACAGGGGTAATGGAAGGCTCATAGTAAGTCATGTATTACTTAGTCTAGTTTCAATGTTATGATTTTAATGAAAATATTATTGTGTTGATTGGTGTGTTTTTATAGTTGCCTTGGGTTCAGATGTAAATTGAAGAGCTTCAGCAGTATCAGTTTTCCTTTACAATTCTGAAGTCTCAGGGTGCAGCTTGTAGTTGCAGAGAAATATGGGTGATGCCATAGAGAATGCTCAGAAACAGTTTTATGCAAGGAAGTCTCAGATGGGAATTGCAGCTTTTATTATATTATCAAACAGTATTAAAGAGCTAGAAGTAGTTGATATGACATATAAGATGGCTAGTGTTAGTTCATGCACAGGATGAGGTGTGACTGCAAGCAGAAGTACCATCGGATCACTAGTTTTCAGTGCACAGATTTAGGCACTGTGAGATCTTTGTGCTGGTAGAAACTGGTAGCTTTTATTTTGATAAGGTCAATGCTGACGGTCAGGAGTTTTTGCATTAAGTTTAGGTTAGTGTTAAGGTGCCCATCCACTTACCGATTATCGTTTGGAAATCGTCCACGAATGGTCGTTCGAACGATAATCGATCAGTCGATGGGAACCCAATGTACTGTACACCTGGGCGAATTTCCTCGATCATTCAGCCTGGAAAACATTTTTAGAATCGTACGAAAATCGATGGATTAGTGGCATTTGCCTACAATAAAAAACACAACATGAACGCTGCACACGCGCTAACAAAAAGCAATGTCCATCTACGAAATTCGGTGAGTTAGTATTGCCAATGAACAAATTTTCACAAACGACATTGGTCTGTGCATGATGGGGTATTCGAGCGGAAAATGAACAAGGGTTCGATGACGACACGAAAAAAATCGAAAGATAATCGCAGAGTGTATAGCCAGCTTTGGGGTGAAAAGGTAGAGGGTTAACGATTAGGGTTTACAGAGCATTTTAGTGTTAAGGAACGAGTTAGGTTTTTAAGTTCAGGGTTGACTTTAAGGTTTGTGTACACGTTTAAGGAAGGGCTAGCTGTGGGGCTGCCTTAATTGTTAACGGTTATATTAAGCATAGTGTGTAGGCAGATATAAAATACCTACTAGGCATTCATAAATAAATCATGTATGTATTTTTAAACAGTACCTTCTATTAACCTCTTGTAGTTCCCTTAACAGCATGAATCAGAATGGGAGAGAAAAATGCAATGCTGTAAACCAATAAGGCTTTTACTACATTGCACAGTATAGAAACAGCTGGCTTACAACAAGTTTGACCTCATCATGTGTTGTTTTTCCAACAAACCTATCATATTGGTGTGGTTCTTGACCAAGCTACGTTGCTATAACTGTAGTAGAGAAAAGGGAGGTCAGATCCTGCCAGTGCTCTATAACAAGAATGTCTGGATTAGAAACCTAGCCGAAAAAAGTTATAGTTTGTCTTCACGTCCACATTAAAGCTTATAGATAAATATGTGCTTTTCCCATGCAGAGCAAAGCAACAGGTTTGCTTTAATGCACATTCCTTTTAACTTCTGCAAATTAGGAAAAGAGTCATTCTGAAGCCTGAGTAGCGTATGACTCTCTCCATTCCTCTCATGTGATAGTGCTGCAGCTTTTTGATTGGCCCAGCACAATCGCTTGTGGGTAGATAGACTCTTTTTAACCCTGTGGATGCTCTGACTATAGATATTTAGAGCTAACACCGGGCTTCCTTTCCACCCATAGACTGCTACAACTGGACTGGGCAGAGAACAGGTTTGTTTTAAGGTTAGACTTCAGGTTAAGCGTGTTATATTAGGAGTTAGGATAAAATGTATGTATAACCAATACATTTATTTTAGTTTTACATAGAGTTGGGAGGGGTTCAAACCCCTGTCCCTGTTTGTGTCTCATCTGGGAGGTTTCCCTTTACTTTTTGTTTGGGAGACGTAACAGAAAGTGAACAAAGTGAAGGGGAATTCTCCTCTTAGACAGCTGTCAACAAGACACATGTTCCCATTGAAGGATTTATCCTCAGCTTGTGCTATTGTGACAGTCCTTACATTTTGGTTTTCCCATCACTTTTTGTCCATGTGACGGTGGTCACCAGGACAAATAGAGAGAAAGAATCTCCCCAGCAGGGACACACACTGCAATCAAAAATTAACAGGGGTTCTAGTCCTTCCTTACTCCATCCAAAACGTGAAAAAGTTTTGGTTATACATACATTTTAAGGGTTTGGATTGGTTAGATATTTCAGCAGTTTCAGGGCATTGTTCAATTTTTAAATGTTTTCACCCCTTACATTTTTGGAACTAATATTTATTAGGTTCCCAAAAACTAACATTCCATAAACCAGAACTTTAATAATGTTAATTACAGCACTAATTCCACAAAGCAATTACTTTTTAGAGCAGGATATGGAATTATCTTTGAGCTTGAGGCTGGTATGATACTGATCAAGTCAGGAATTTCAACTGTTTAAATAATATTACCTTTACTCTGCTTCACAATATCTAAATTACACCAATACAGTGCTTCCTAAGAGCAGTGGGTATTTGTGACTTAACATATGACATTCTACACTAGCAGTGCTACAATCCAGTCAAGCATAACAATTTGCCTGTTAAATAGACACAAGGGACACAGCCTATCCACATACTACTACTAATTTTCATCCCAACATGAGTTCTGCTCTGCAAGCTTCTATAGTTTTCTCAAGCTCCTATGTATCTGATTCTTTGCAGCCCAGGGGAGTACCACATTTTCAAATCTGCCCATATGAATTCAGAAAGACAGCTAATATCTTAATATGCACACCATTCTATTTAGAAATTCATTGTGACAGCTCCATTCTACTTATGTAAGCCTGTTCATTCAGAAATACATGTTTTTCGTCCCTGATCATTCAGAAATACATTCCTGATGTCCTGGAGGCAAAAAGGTTGTACTTAACAAATGTCTTGCAAGAGGCTGCAGCTCTGTCCCAAGGTACAATGAGGTGGCTATCAAGATTATGAATAAGCCAAAACAGTGGTGTAATAAAAGTACTTTTAAATCAGAACTCTAGGCACCAAAACTTTCATTGAAATATAGTTCTCAATAGCCACAAAGGATACTTTTGTGTTCTGAAAATGCCGTTGAATGCCCAGCTATTACATCATCTTGGTTCTACACATAGCCTGTATGGGCCACAAGGATAAAGTGGTGGCCCCATGGGATTGTTTCCCCCCTGTCACCCTTAGTATGTGTATATATATTTATTTAGACTAATTAATTAATTCTTTGAATAGTTTTTATAGGTTGGTTTAAGCTATTGTGGATGCTTTCTGGTTCTTTTGTTCTATTTTTCAGGTTCTGAGGTAAACTGGGTTGCCAGGCAGATCGCATCATGAAGTGACTACAGCTGATTGAATACAGCTGATTGAATAAATTGGTGATTCAATTTTGGAGGCAAAAACAGCTGTCCTATCATATGTGACTGTTATCCTTTATATATTTGGTCAGTTGGCAGCAATCAACTCAGAAACTTCATCAACACATCTGGACACCGGATTTTCTCGCTGCCTTCCCCTCCCTGTATATTCGTTTTGTCGCGGTTCACTTTTATGGGGTAATGTCACCCACTTGGTGGGTGGACAGTGTGTGTTACATTATCGGTCCAGTAAAGTTTGGTGGCTTGAGTCTTAAAGACTAAGCAGTTTTGGTTATGGTTTATTTGGTTCTCGGTTAAAGTATTACTAAAGGCTGGGCGTTTTTTACCTTGATGCATTCTCTGCATTAAGGTAAAAAATGGCCAGTACCTTTTTGACTCCTCCGTCCCCCCAAACTTACTTGTCAGCGTCGCTTGTCACCGCTGCCAGTCCCCGAAGTGATCCTCCATCCGGAAACTTCCTGGTTGCAGTAGAGGATACTGAGGGCAGAGGAGCCATAGGCTTCTTTTGCCATCAGTCAAACTGTTGGATGGAGAGGAGGGATGTGGCCTGCTGAAGGGCTGTGTGTGTCTATGGTGTCACGGTCAATAATGTGCATGCACAGGTGCCTCCACCGCAGCTGCTTAGCTGATTGAGGCACCCATACAAGGGGTGGAACGGAGAGCAATGCGGGGACCCACTAGAAAACGAGGAACTGAAAAACTAACAAATACAAATAAAAGCTTAATATCACTTTAACTTTGGTTTTGTCATCTAAGTTTACTCTTGAAAGTTTAGAACAATTAGATTTTAATCCCAATAAAGGGGCTGCGGCCTATATTTATTCCAATACTGTAGACTTATGCATTTAATTCCTTAGCTTGCTTAGGTGTTTTTTAGTTAGGGGGTGGTTAGTGGGTGTACAATCCCATGTACTG